ACTTTTCTTCATGAAGGAGGGTGATCAGGACATACAAGCTGAAGCAAACACTTCCTACCCCAATGTAGTTTTTAGTCATGATATTTTATCACAGCAAAAGAAACAGCTAAGATAGTCTGGTTAGTTATATTTTGTTTTTGTGACTAAGGAAATAATATACCAAGTAATTAACTAAGGAAGTGCAACGGAGGATAGAGACATGGACAAATAATCGTTTGCCATTTGGTATCAAACAGGTGGCCTTAAAATTGCTTCAGTGGTATCTGCTTTATATATGTTTGTACATTTTCCCATAGGATTAAGTTGAATTTTTGTATTTGTACTCCAGTTGTGTAGCTAGTAGTGTGAATAAAATGTCATAAATTATCTGTCACTCTTACTAAAGCTTTTGTGAAAAGTGATCACGTGTTTCTGTATGATGTGTGGAAGCTTCCTTGTGTAACTTCTCCAAACACCCCTGCTACTGCTACTTATGGCTGGACAGGAGCCAGGCAGGGTGAGCCACACCATGTCACAGTCAAGAGACACCAGAACTCACTTAACCCAGTTCTTACTTTATAAATGAAGGGGTGTTGATGTTATCTGCAAAGGTGAAATAAAGTCCTCAAGATCTCAGTTTCATTAGTTATCATTTCAGAGTTAACATGCAGTTGATTATATAAAGAAACAGACAATTTTTATTATCTTGTGTCATTCTTTTACTGAAGTTTATGCTCATAAAATAACAATAGTATTAATAAGCAATAAAACTACTCAGTCTTGCTAAGTTATCTCTCTTCCAAAGAGCTGAATGTCATATATTTTCAAATGCTAATGTTTTGGAATATGTAAACAAATAACAAAATTATGTGACTTTCAGTTTTTTCTTTAGTTATTTCTTTAGAGTTCTAGCTGCTTTGAAGCAAATGGTGCTCTTAGGAATGTCTCACTGGATCTGATAGTAGGTCAAACTCATTTAATATTACATTAATTTGGGGGGATAAAAGTGGTTTGTAGTTTACAGATTTTGACAGAGGGTTAAATCTAGTGTCCCAAATGGCAGGGTAAGAAAACAAGCTAAATTCTTTCATAATAATCATTCCCAAACATTATTTCTTCACAAATTGTTCCTTTGTCACACTAAATTTCCTTCCATAATGACTACTTTTATTTCCATTTTTACCCTCCATTTTGAAGAATAAGATCCTAACTTCCAATGAAGGCTCTTTTAAACTTGTCTTATTGAATTCTAGGGGCTATCTTCTAACCAATTTGCAAAATGGTTTTAAATGCAAGTTATTTTAATGCTCATAGTTGCATTTAATTTTAAGTAGCTACAGAGAACTGTAGCTACTGTGAGAGCCCTTGTTTTTTATTGTTTAATTTTAAAGTGGGATAGTATAGGAAATAAAAAGTTAACTCCTAAAGCTAGTAAACTAAACTTATTTTGTTCTGAAATTGCAAAACATGCTAGCCTAGCTTTGTGATAACCAGGGAAAAACAAATTTAAGACCATGGCCACAACACTATGACAGCCTTGTTAAAAGGAGTGACACCAATAGAACAATGTGAGGTGCACTCTCACCCAGAACTCTTGGGAAAGGGTCTAGGCCCTGCCCTATATGAAATGACACACTATGGACACCCCCATGGAGGGCCTCACCCTCCCTGGAGAAATGAGAGGATAACGGGGGGGGGGGGGAGGGCACGGGAGGGAGGGAGGGAATGGGAGAGGGACCTGGAACTGACTTGTGAAGCAACCTTGATTCTTATCTAAATTCTTATCTAAATTTAAACTGGAAAATAAAATTAAAAAAAAAGAAAGCTTTATTGGTGTTTATGCTTTTGACTTTTGGTTGCTTTTCTGTCCCCATTCTGGAACCACATCTGAGATCGGTAAAGAAGAGATTTAGGAGCAAACCTTTTTCCTAGATCTGAGTCCTTTGTAAGAATTTACCATATTTGGGAAGTTGTAATCTGATTTAAAATTCCATTGTCAAGGGAATGTCCCTGACAAACAGAAAGTATTTACAATCTACAGTGAATAGTTCCTTACAATTTGACTTGTGTTTTGGATTCCATGAACTGAGGAGCAAAAGCAAGAGCTGTGGCACCATAGAAAAAACACCTCAAATACTCAGTATGAGGAGGAAGGAGAAAACTCTCCAGTTGTATGCTGCCTGGAAGACTAGAAAACCCTGTCTTGATGATGATCTAAAATATATTTTGCCATGGTTTAGTGTAAAATAGATATCCCATTTTTGTAATACAGTGGCCAGAATAAACTAATATTACGTAATGTTTAATACACTGAGAATATGAGAGTAATAGTGTTTAAGTCCATTAGACTCTTATTTTTATTATCTTTTTAAATATCATGATTCAAAATGATCTCTAGTATATATTCTATATGATTTTAGAAAATCTAATATATGATTTTCTAAATTTGTACTACATTATAAATTCAGGTTCAAAGCATGTAACATTTGCATCCATCCTACACTACTAAAACATTTCCGAATTATACATGGACTTTATATAATATGATAACACCAGAATTAGCAACAGATGTTATTTCAAAGCTCCAATTTGAAATGATTTATCATTCTACATTAAAATTATGATGCACAGCTGTATGATTTAATTTTATATGTCTAAGTGTTTGTATAGATCATGAAATACTCTGTACAGGTGTACAACTCAAAATCCAATATAACTTTTTAATTATAGAGATCCTAACTAGGAATAGAGACACATACCTATGATTCTAGCACTAAGAAGGCTGATGTAGGGGGCTAACATATTCAAAGGCACAATCATGTAGTTAACCTTTGTCTCAAACAAATTATAAAGATTCTATTTTTGGTCTATTTTTGCTTTGAATTTTTATTTTACTGACTTATGAAGCTTAGAAGATATTGATTAATATAAAATTATAGAGCTGAGTAAAAAAATCAAGACCATTTATAGTATAGTAAAGACTAAGTAGAAAGGCCTCAACTCTCCATAGGAGCCTACAATCAATTAAGGAATGCTGATAGCAGGAGAAATAGTCTTCCCCGGAAAAAAAGCACACCAATTGGTGATTCCTGAAAACAAATATAGAAGTAACATTATACAGACTGAGCTAGTTGTAGCTATGAATTTAGGAATAGACAGCAAATTAATGAAAATAGAGGCCATGAATTTGAAAGATGACAAGGAGGAGGATTTGCAGGGAGAAAGGAAAAAGGGGAAATGATGTAGTTATATTATAATCTGGAAAAATAAATGAAATAATTATAACTTAGAAAAATCTTCCAAGAAATAAAAGACAATAAATAGTTGAATATGCAACATAAGAGAGGCACAAGGTATTTTATATTTCATAAGTACCACTGTATTATAGTGAGTTTGTGGAATATGGATTAAAAATATCAAGAAGACCAATATTAACAATAAAAATAATTAGGGGAAGATAAGTAAAACAGTGGCCCTTAAATTCATGACAGAACCATAATTTCAAGAAAGAGAACCATGTGATGACCTTCAGGCTTGGTGTGTAGGTAATCTCTCTCATTTTTATTACCCAGTCCCTAACAGAAACAACTCAAAGCAGATTTCTGGTTCATAATGGACTTCAGTCCATTATGGTGGGAAAGGAAAGGCTGCAGGATGAGTAATTCACATCATGACTGGCCAGGAATCAGAAAGCAAGACAGGAAGCAAAAGGACTAGGAGAACACCCATGCTTCCAGTGGTCTACTTCCTACTGCTGGATTCCTCCTCCTAAATATTTCAGGACCTCCTCAAACAGTGGCATTAACATAACTTCAAGTCTGTGAGCTTGTGGGAACACATTTCCCAGTCCCACTCAATATTAGGGACCACTGTCTTTGCTCTGCTTATGTTAAGGGCCACTGTAGGCATTGTACTGCAATCATTACATTACATAAATTCGTGTAGCTAATTAGTGGTGCAGGATTTTCACATAGGTGTCTCTGACTCTAAATTCAGTGTACTATGTTTTTTGTGTGTTTGTATGCATTTTATATCCCATGCATACCATAATAAATGTTTTAATTAAACTCGAAATTGGTAAGGATTCAGTGTTAGCAACAAACAAATTTCTATGCAAACTCATTGCTAAAAAGAATGACACTACCACCTATCATAAAATTTGAAAATTAGTGTAACTCCAACACAATAAAAATTATAATGTCAAATGCTGATATTAACCTGAGTTGCTCAGCTACCTATATGATGTACATAGTTATTGCTAAGTAAAACACACCTGAATGTCTAGTACAAAATAAATAATACTGGCAGAGATTAAGAGTATAAAGGTTTTACTAAATGTGAATTTCTTAAGGCTCAATATATTTAGGGAAATTTACATTCTGTCCTAAGAAGAAGCTGAGAGCACATTTGCACCATTGATTTCTTAGCATTATAAGATTATGTGAGCAATGTCCTTTGCCAAGCAGATTTATGTTATGTTAATATCATTATTTTTATCATGAATGCAATTATTCAAAGCTAGTCTTTCAATCATGACTAATTTCTTGCTCTGGTGACTCATATGCCTCACCATCAAAAAAGGAAACCTATGACTTTATAGTTTCAAAGATAACTAATGCTAAAGATTTGAACTTCTAACTCAGAGTTGTATTCTTGTTTATTTGTGTCTATGAAATTAGATATTGTAAGCACAGAGTATGGGTTTCTTGGTCATTGTTTAAAGGGGAAAATATGAGCTCTGGATAGTGTCAAGAGCCTTTGGGTAACCTATTCTGTTTCAGTGTCTCTGACCTGAAGCTGTGTTTCTCTTATTAAATTATCAGTGTCACAGACTGAGTCATATAGATTGACCTCAAAACCAGTCCTACACTTTGTAACTCTATCATAACTGGGCCCTGTGGGCTGGTCTCTTTTGTCCTAAGATACGCAAGTGACAACCCACTCAAATGGGTGGAGTTTCTCATAAATCTGTTACAATGCAAGGTTTCAACTTTTCACAGCTTCATAGAAGTAAAGCCAATCTTATTTTATTTTAAGCCAAAGGAAGGAGGTGAAGGAAGATTATTAAGGAATCTCTACTACTAATGGTGTCCTGTCATTTAGTGGCAATCTCAAAATCCAGTAAGAGGACATGCTGCGATCTGCAGAGTCAACATTGATGTTGTTACCAAGGGAAGTACATTTCTGTCAGATATGGTATACCAGTGAAGAAACCAGAACTTTAAAATATGTAAGCACCATAAAACAATGTTTTTATTAATGATGTACTATATATATTATTGTGGGCTATATATATTATGGGGAGATTATTATAATGGAACTGAATTCCTATCACCTAGAGACACCACAGTCATCAGATGTTTAAATATCTATCATTACCTTTTTAAGTCAATACAATAACATGATGTGCAGTTTTGGATCTCAGCTATATGTGTTTCACTGTAGATCCTGGGTATACTGTAGGCTACACTCTTTAAGTTGTTGTAAGTATGCTCTGTAATATTTGAATAACGATGACATTAACTTAACAACCAAATTCTTTAGCATGCTCACAATTCTACACAATAAAATAGATTTTGGTAAAATGTCAGTTCTGTCACTAGCCTAATGTGTGTCTTATAAGTGACTCAATTGTTATTTTGAAACACAGAAGAGATTATAATGCCTACCTGTATCACTTAGTCTACCAGATCCTGGCATAGAAATTACATAAAGCAAATTCTCAATAAATTTTACCTTGTACTTTATCATAGATGTAATATTTCTTCAGAAAAGCAAGCCATTTTCATACCTTATTTTGGTTTAAATTTCATCAGAAATTTGTGATTAATACAGGGCAATGAGATAATAATAAAAATTTAGTACGTCTCCAATGGGTGATATGGAGTTGAGTCAGAGTTGTGTAATAGTTTTAATATTGGGAAATAGTTTAAGAATGAGTTTGAAACAGCTTCTAAACTGACTTCTGGAGGTCCATTGAATAGGCCTGTGGGTAAAATGAAGACTGTTATGATTATTTGTTTAAGTCTACTTTGTATAACACAGTTATGTTAGACTTATGCTAGAATTTATAATAGAGTTAAGATCTCACATACATAAAATACTAAATAGAAAATAGCTATTTTATATCTGTAGGTGACTTTGCAGCTACAGGCTAGAGTTTTTCTTATAGTCGAAGCCTCATTAACATGATTTATTGTTCAATGATTCAGCCCGTTCTTTGCCATTTTGCAATCACTGATGTGAGGTGCTCACTGTTCCAGCAAATCTATGTTTGCTCAACCAAGAAATAGGAAGCTTACTGGTAGAAGTTTGCTGTGGTTTCTAGAGATGATGTGTCTTCTTCCAGTCTTCTAATTCACTGATAATGACATATGGACAGTTACTCAAAATCTAGCCAGAAGGGCAGGATGGAAGGTTGAGGTTCACGTTTGGATTACAAAACCATCAGTTCAGTGAGTATCTGCTACAGATAGCCCACTATTTCTTGTTTAATGTCCACACTAAAGGACTCCATGGTGTCAATTCTATGCCTGCTCTTAAAGTTTTGTACTAAACTTAGTAGCTGAGAATTATGACCCTCAAAACTGATACTCTCAAAAGAGAGGAAATGTTACTACACCAATATTTGTACCAGAGATCTCCAACTCATATCTCATTTTCGCTTACTTTGTTTTCACCAACACATTGACAAGAAACTCATTTTTTGCTGCCACAGCTCACTTTTCATCCTTCGTGTTGCATATACTCTCCCTTCACCCAATTCTCTTCCAATTTCACTTTCCCCTTCATGAACTGTCTTTTCTTCTCCAGGTCTGGGTCAATGTTCTCCCCTTTACCTTACCAACAATGTTGGGGTAGACAAGGGGGTGATACTTGGAAAGACAAAAGATGAAAAGAATCCTCTCTAAAATGTCTTCTTTGGAAAATAATAAGGAGCACAAGTGAGTCTACAGTCCTGTGTGGTTAATCACTTGTTGAGAATAGGCAAACTGTGCCTTGTCCTAAGTACTGCCATTTTGACTGTAGGGTGAAACAAAGCTCAGTTTCCACTTAGGGGAGCTGGCAACCCTTCATGAGCTGACCTATCTCCTCCTTAAACCATAGAAATAGTTATTATGCATCTATAGTTCTCTATAAACATTATGGCTATTCCTAACAACAGAAAGAACAAATAAATCTGATTGATTTTACTGAAAAGCTTGCATTGTGTCTTAGTTGATAATGATTAAACATCGAACGAAGCCCTGAATCTCTAAATCCTGATTGGTGAAGACTGTAACTGTAACTTGGCAACAAATATTTGTGATTTTTTTTGTTTATGTACTTGCTTCAACTGGCATTCCGGGTCACAGTTCTGCAACCATGATTAATCAGCCCCCTCCCCTTCCCCTTTATTTTGTGCTGACCTGTATTAAATTTTGCTATGCAGGAACCTCTTGTGTCTGCTTGGGTTGATTCGGAGCCTCAAACCACAAAACACAGAATCTCCTTCCATCTCCTCTGTCATTCCTCCAAGACATGGTCCACTCCACCCCACCCCATTCCACATGGCTCTTCTTCTTCAGATCTCACTGTAGTTTCCATCCCAGGTCGATGTAACAGATGCAAAGCCATAAGGACTTCATGTCATTGTGGAGTAAACATGCTCCAAGCATCTCAACATGGAATGAAGGACCCATTTTTATACCATGTATTGCTATATGCAACAGGCTGTATCTGTTGAGGCTACCAGCATAACTATAAGTTGAGAAAGGGAAAGAGCCCATCTCCAGCTACCATGTACTAATCCAAATATTTGCAATGAGAAAAATTTAACGGGTTTTTTTCATGTAGTTATGCTGGAATATTTTATATCATTTTGAAAAGTAATGCTGTTTTAAATGTATAAGGGAATCACTGTTTTTGGATAAGTCTTCACTGAACCCAGTAGCATCTACTGTATGTTACAAAAAAAAGTGTTCCTGTGGCCAGTCCTATAGACCAACATCATGTGAAACACTGGGAAAATGTCATCCAGAGCTTTACTCAATCAACTTTCAAAATTTCCAAATGTTGAAAAATCAACTACCTCGTCTTATCTGCTTGCCTCCAGGCATGTATATGGTGCACATATACACATGCAAGCAAGCACTCATGCACATTCAGTAAATAAATAAATTTTAAATAAGAAAATGACTTGAATTGTTCCAGAAGGCATATGTGACCTAGTTTTAAAAGTCTTAATTTTAAAAAGTTTATCATAAGAATTATTTATTTCAAATCAATTGGTAAGAAACCCTATATTTTACTTCTATTAAAATTATTGCTTATACTATTATTGAAAGGGATGTGATACACCTTTACTGTATATTACTCTTATTAAAAGCTTTTTCATTCATAAGTAGGACTCTAAAACTTCAATTGAAAATATATTGCAGCAGATTTTGTTTTGAAAACTGTTCTCTGACATAATTGGGAATGCTTTATGTTACTGCAAACTCAAGGTTAGATGTGAGCAGCTTATGTAAATGAGGAAGGAGAACACTTTTTTTTTTGGTTCATTAACCTAAGTGACACTAAATCAACTTTCAGTTATTTGTGTCCTCAAATAGTGAGACAAGGTCTATGGAACACAACTCTTTGGGTCCAAAAGCTCCTGTAGAGGTGGTTTAAGGAAAGCAAGGGTGTCTCCAATGTGGTACAGACTGTTTTCACCTGCTCCTCATGCCTATGAAGAAGTGACAATAACTATCAATAACTATCCGTTGAATCTCAGCCATGACAATGTAAGGCATGAAAATGTGAGATCATATATGGTCAGAGATATCATGTGAAAGTTGGTGTAATGGTTTGAGAAAAAGATTTCATTAGTTCTCCTTTACTTTCAATCATTTTCAGCGCTGAGCAGTGCAGACTTGCCTAGAACCAACAACATCAGGTCACTAAACCAGGAGGGCTGCAATTTCAAGCTATCAACATGGACCCAGGAGAAAAGCCTGTCTAAAGAAACAACATTAGGTGTACAGACTCAAATTAATAACTGTTGTGTGCCAAACTGCTCTTCTGTCCTAATGCTTGAGATAGTTTGATGATGGAAAGTTGTGTCTACCTTCTGACTCAAGTGCTAATGGAGGCCCATATTTAATAAATTCACATATAAATGGTACAACAATTTGTCAGGTAGTACACATGTTTCTGCTGTAATTATGAATTAGTTTGTATTTAGAGCCTGAAACTCTTTGCTAGAGTCTACCTTATGTGATTCTGTGGTCTGTGAAGCCTAATAATTGTACTCATTTCACTGTAACACATTTATGTCATTAAAAAGATGGCCTTTAATTGTTTTCTCAAGATAGGTCACAATAAAAACTATTTAATACTTACTTGGGATGTTGGAGGGTGTGTTCCATGAGTATATATACATGTACTCACAACAAATTTTACTATCTTAATTGGGGTTTCAATTGCAGCAAGGAAACACCATGACCAAAAAGCAAGTTGGGGACAAGAAAGGTTTTGACTTACACTTCTACATTGCTGTTCATCCTTGAAGGAAGTCAGCACAGGAGCCCAAACAGTGGGAATCTGGAGTCAGGAGCTGACACAGAGGCCATGGAGGAATGCTGTTTAATTAGTTTGCTCAACCCACTTTCTTTATTATTATTATTATTATTATTATTATTATTATTATTATTATTATTATTTTAATTTTAAATAGCTTGTTTTACATGTCAATCCCAGTTCCCTCTCCCTCCCTTCCTCCTGCACCCTCCCACCATCCCCCCCAGCCTCCTACCCTATTGCTATTTCTTTCCACATAGGAGATATCTAGAGTCTGTCATTTCACTCAGGGTAGGGTCCAGGCACTCCCCTAAGAGTCCAGGCTGAGAGAGCATCCCTCTTTGTGTTATGGACACACGATGTCTGTTTGTATTCCAGTGATAAACACTGATCCACTGCTCAGGGCGCCACAGGTTGCCCAGGCCTCCTCACTGAATCTCACATTCGAGGGGGTCTGGATCAGTCCCCATGCTGGCCTCCCAGCTGTCTGTCTGGGGTCCAAGAGCTCTCCCCTGTTCAGATCAGCTATCTCTGCTGGTTTTGCCAGCCCATTCTTTGCCAATTTGTTCATAGCTCCTCTCTCTCTGTCACTGGGTTCCTTGGGTTCAGTTCAGCGTTTAACTGTGGGTGTTTGCCTCTGCTTCCATCAGTCACTGGCTGAAGGCTCCAGGATGGTTATAGACATCAAGTTCATTATCAGGAATGGGCATTCGAGGTGGTCTCTCCACTATTGCTTAGCTTGTTGATTGTCAACCCACTTTCTTATAAAACACAGGACCAGCAGCCCAGGGATAGCACCACTTATCATGTTTTGGGCCCTCCCTCGCTAACTGAGAAAATGCCTTACAGCTGGATCTCTTTCAGGCATTGCCTCAAATGAGGCTCCTTCCTCTCTGATGAGTCTAGTTTGTGTCAAGTTAACAAAAACTAGCCAGTAAATGCATTAATGGTAATCTCTGGCACATTTGTGGTTTTAGACCTAGAACAAAGTTAGGAACCCGAAAGCTCTCAGAGTTATCTAAAAAAATTGGGACAAACATTTGTGCTAAAATATTAAAGTTGTATAATAAGCATAGTGGTTGGTGATACCCTAGGAAAGGATAGAAGAGAAATTTACATGGAAGTTCAACTGGTGAGGAAGCATTTCCACATCAAATTTCAAATCACAGGAGGAACATAGCACTAGGTATTGTGTTAAAAGAAGGGCAGTGTCTCCTCTCTGTAGGTCAGGTTAGGTGAATGCATAGGACAGATAGCTTCCTAAGTTGTTACAATATATAAGCACCAGCATTGTCTTTGAAATAATTGCTTTTTAATTCGTATACAAAGTAATGGGTTTCATTATGCAGTTTTATACACACTTTATTTCTGCTAATTTCCCTTCCCTAATCTCCTGTCAGAAGTACCATTCTCTGTTAGAAGTTACTTGTCATTGGTTCAACTAATTTTCATTAATTGCTATACTTACACAATTCTTAGGGTAAAACTGTAATGGATACAGTATACACAAGCCCTATACAGTTCATGTGCTCCAAAGATTTCCACTTTGATGAGGAGAGCTGTTCAGTGTGCTGCTTGACTAATCTGGGCAAAGATATGAGCAGGATTGGAGTATAAGGCTGCAAACTAACAGCAAAGGCCTGGCCTGGAACAATGCAACATAGAAAAATACAGCTAAACTCAACTCATGACCCTAAAGATCTCACAGCTTCAATATGCTGTACCCTGTGTCAATTTGCATTTACCAGGCTCCTCTGAGTCATCAAGAAAAATTATGTCATAGAAATTTACAATCAAGCTAGAACTCAGAGGTTGTCATGTCCCTTCTACCTAAAAATCACAGCCACAAATTAAAATCAACTTCTCCTTTTCTGCTAAAAGTGAATTGAATTGGTACTTGTGAGACAGCTCTCATTTTATACAGCTCTGAAGGTGTAAAAGTCTCCATATGGTGTACTGAAATCTGCCTTCAGGATCACTTCCTCCCACAGGGAGTTTCTGAGGAGATGGGATTAAAAACTACTCTCTTCTGTTCATGATGTGGGATTCTATTTGACATAAGAGGAAGGGGTAGAATAATATATCTATAGACAGTTTCAGCCTTTAAAATCTCATCTATAAGAAGAAAGTTCCTAGCAGGCACCATATCATCAGTTTTATTCCAGACTTTATGCCAGCCTGCAGTCATGCCAGCATCCATAGTGATGGTGTTCTGATACTTTTACAAATGCACTCACCCAGTGACATGTTCTCTCCTTGAGGATGCAAAGTGACTGTCCTCAAATGACACACAGCAAGTTTTGGGCCCATCCTTAAGTCCATCTTCTATGATTTGAGATATAAGCAAAAACGTATTACAGAGCTCTTCTAAAGAAAGGACAGGAGACCTTTCATACCTGCACTTTCATTCTGTGACTGGATGTGATGACTTGAATAGGTATGTCCCACAGACTCATATATTTGAATGCTTGGCCTATGGGAAATAGCAATATTAGGAGGTATGGCTTTGTTGGAGTAAGTGTGGCCAGGATGGAGGTAGGTTTTTTGGTCTCATGTATGTTCAAGATCCTGTTGCCTGCAGATCAAGATGGAGAACTCTCAGCTCCTTCTCCAGCACTATGTCTGCCTACACACCATGCCTACTGCTATGATGATAATGGAGTAAACCTCTGAAACTGTAAGCCAACCTCAATTAAATGTCTTCCTTTGTAAGAATTTTGTGGTTCAACCAAGCACCAGACTGACTCCGGGAATCCAATTGAAAGAGAAGAGGTAATATATGAGCAAGGGAGGCCAATATCATGATGGAGAAATCTACAGAGACAGCTAAACCAAGCTCATGGAAACTTATGAACTCTAGACCAACAGTTGTAGAGTCTCCATGGGACCAAACTAGGCCCTGCATATATGGTAGACAGAGTTGAGGGACCCCTGGCAGTAGGACCAGGATATACTCCTTGTGCATGAACTAGCTTGTTGGAGCCCATTCCCTACAGTGGGATGCCATGCTCAGTCTTTTTTTTTTTATTAATATTTTTTTTATTTTCCATTTTAAATTTAGATAAGAAACAAGGTTGCTTCACAAGTCAGTACGAGGTCCCTCTCCCTTTCCCTCCCCTCCTCCCGTGGCCATGCTCAGTCTTAATGCAGTAGGAAGAGGCTTGGCCCTGCTCCAACTTATTTTACCAGATTTTGTTGACTCCACATGGGACCCCTTACTGGTTGGGAGAAGTGGATGGAGGATGAGCTGTGGTCATGGTGTCTCTTCACAGTCACAGAAATCCTAAAGAAGACACTGGGGAAAGAATAAAGTTTCTCTTAAGTTCACTTTACAATTAAAGAGCTGGAATGAACTCAACTACTTCCCATGTCTTCCTAAGTCTAACTAACCTGAAAAGCTTCTTGTTTTCACACATGTGCAATCACAGAGAATCTAAGTTTATGAAGTTATTCTATCCCATTCTTTAAAAACTCTGATTCTGTCTCTGTTAGAATTTCATCTTCTTCCCCTCCACTCTTTCCCCTCTCCTTCTTTTCTCCACCTCCCACCCTCATTATTTGTTTTATCCCTAAGACTCACTCCAAACTTGTGATTCTCCTGCCTCATCTTCCTGCTTGAGTAGCTGGGACTAATAAAATATGCCCCAGCTCCTGGATTTCTCTAAAAGAGTGCCTACTTCTTCACAAACTACCAACTATTTTTAGGATCAGGATAGTTCCTCAATAAGCTAATATGTAAGTTTACATAGTATGTCATACATTGAACTAGGGTACAAGAGTAAGCAAGAAAGTACTAGAATTTAAATCTTTGCTCTCACATTGCTAAATAGTCAAATGATGTAGACATAAATAAGCAATTTTGAGAGAGGTGCTCTGTGTTGAGGAACTATATGGGGTTCTGTATGAACCCATACAAGGAAGAGTTGATCTGGAAGGAGAAGAAAAGGCTGAGGCAGGGGATTGGCAGCTGTTAATGGCATTCAGGGTTTCATGCGGATGGAACAACACAAGCAGTGTGCTTCATAAGGTACAGAGATGAGAGAGCAGCGTACATTCAGAGACTGAAAGAAATTGCTCATGATTGGCATGTGAAATGGGGGTGTCAAGAAGTAGCAGTTGAAGCGGCATAGATTATCAGGAGGGAGCTCACAAAGAGCCCTTAGAGACACATTACAGAGTCCGGGCTTTGAGCTTGTAACAGTGTGACCTTATTAAAGCAATTTAAGCAGGTGGCTTCGGGGAGATGGTGTTATAATACTAGATTCTTTGAGATAAAAGTATTTGAAGTATCAGATTGAGAGCTGAAAAACTAGTAAAAATTTTGGATTGATCCAGAGAGAGATGGTAATCTTGGTAGAGTAGGAGGGAAGTAGATGGGTTGGAGACACATTTCAGCAATACAGTCAGAGAACGTAGTGCTTGGTTGAAAGCTGAAGGTGATACAGAAAAAGGACCTGAAATTGACCATCAGGCTTCTGACATGAGTCTCTGAAGGAACGGAGGGAGTGAAGTGGAGAAGATAAAAGAAGGCACACTTGAGGGAATGTTACCAGTTCATTTTGTGGTTGTCTAGATGTGAAATGACTTGGATGTCCAAGAAAATACACAGCTTAGCATATAGCTGTTTATAGAAGATTCAGATTTTAAGTCTTGTGGTAAAGATCTCATAGTTTTAGCTGCAGTTGACATTTGGGGATTATTTCAGAACACCAGGGATAGTGTGCAGTGAAAAGAGATCTGGGTGTGAAACAGAAACGAGTAAAACCATAGGAAGGGTCTTTGCATAGGAACTGGAGCTTTCCTAGTCAATGATGGAAAAAAC